AAAACCAAATCCAGCAAATTGACTTTTCTTTGATACCAGAGACTTTGCTATTTTTGTTTACAAATACTAGAGCAACTACTTCTCAGAAAAAAACTAAAGTAGGTGGCTAGCTAGTGGCTTATTTGTTTGTTGTTTTGTCAGGAGTGGATCTTATGAAGATATAGAATTAGTGTCAGTCCTCTTCCATGAAAAAAGTGCTCCGAAATGAGAGAGAGATAGAGAGAGAGAATCCCTTTAGAATGCAATAATTAATACCTCTCTGCCAGTAAATGTGGAATTTCTAGGAGATTAGTGCATTGAACCTAATAAGAATTGAACGAAACTTCCCTGTAAGGAGAAACCAACCAACACAGGTAAACAGTGAGGCAGGTTTGGCTGTGACTTTTCAATTGAAATCCTGATTTGGGTATTCAAAAGTTTTATTTTTATATACAACCCATTAGCCTTTGAGAGATCATTGGTGAGAGAAACTGTTGTTAGTTTTGCTTCTACTCCTTGGGACTTAAAAATGTTAATTTTGACTACATACAATCCAGGTTTTACTGGAGTCTTTGCGGGTTTAGTCTCTCCCTGTAGTAATTTTTATACGTCTTATTCCTCTTCTCAGGTGACAAAGGCATTCATATTGTCTTCCATTAATATCAAATAGCCCAAGAAAAATCTGCTGCATAGGCAATTAGTTAATTCCTAATAGCAGTTTATGAGTGTTGATCAATGATTCATTGGGGCAAGAATAGATGAGTGATTTATAACTGTAACTTGGTTCTGACAGGCTTGTTTTTTGAGAAGTCATACACTTCCTGTAAAGTCTTTAAACTTGTGATTGCCATTAACCACCCAAACAAGCACACCACACAAGACTTAGAATACAAACAAATTCTCTCAGAATTGCAATAAATTGTATTTATATTAATTAAAGTTTATTCTAGTTTAAATATCCCATAAAATTAGAATACAGACTTTTTGCAGAAAAACCATTTTACATAACAACACAAATCCATGTATTTATTTCTAATCTAGGAATGGGTTCCAAATTAATTTACCTTCTTTGTCAGATGTAATCTTGAGACACAATTCTAGATATCAAAGTAGGCCTCCATAACCCATTTTAACTAAAGCTAATTCAGTATACTTCATGGGTATATATGGTTTCATAAAGTTTAATAAAAAATTAAGTTGTATTGTGATTTCAACTTTTAAGATTAGTTTTATTCACATATGAATCATTTTTCTAAATTTTTGAGATTTACAATATTATCACATTTTAAGAAAGAATGATCCAACCTGATCACTTCTTTTCCACCAGTTTTTAGAAGATAAACTATCCAATTTAGCAATCAGAAGTGGGATAATATACTAATGAAAAAACTTATAAATTGTCTCTAAATATAACATTTGGTAGAAATTTAATATTCTTCTTGCATTGATATTCCCATTGCTACCTTTCTATTATCACATCTAAATTCTGCATCTATTTAATTATACATTTTTTGACTTGTGTATTATGTTTGCTTTGATCAATTTTTTTGCATGTTGTTTATTTTTTGTTAAAGAGAAAAGAAAATATACTCATTTTCTCTGCAATATTTTTCCCTTTTCCAACTGCAGAGCATATAAGCCATGGTAGTGTGTTTTGAAATAAATGGGCTAAACACAGGGTGAATGGAGCCCCTTCACTGGATCTCTTTCTTTTGAGTGACCAGATGCTACCTTTGAATGTACTTGTGTTGTGTTTTTATCATGGTTTTCTGGTATATATTCTGAACCACCCAGAATTGCTTTGGGTGGTGCCTAATACAAATAAAATAAATAATAAATGGAACAACTTACGTCCTGCAACAATATATTTAACACCAGCAACAACTTCTGCCTATCCCAGGTCCTTGGGAAGGACTAGATAGGTGGACAAAATTTAGTCTAAAAATCTGGCTGACTGTGCAATCTATCATAATCATCTCTTTGTAGGTTTATAAATTATAATTATCTAGACCAAATGTTTAAAACCCTAATCTTAATACACACACAATTCAATGTTTTTTTCAAAATTTAAAATATAGATAAGAAGCATTTAATTTCCAATTTGTTGCATTATTGAAGTGTGGATGGAAACTGAAATGTGCTCCATTTGCTCCTCTGATGCCAGAAGTTTCTTTATGCATATGTTTGTCTATGCACATGGCAAGCACATATACTAAATTAATATATTTTATATTCATAGAAAAGCTCACATGTATTTTTATTTTCAGAAACACTGTAATTATTGGTATTAGTCACCTTTTAATGTTGTTCTACCAACTGCTGATTAAGGAGAATTTCAAATGACTAGTGAAGATACAACTGCATAGTTTCATGTACCTTTCTCCCAACCATTTCCCACAATTAACAATTGCCTAAAAGAAACAGGTAGTATTACAGGCCTGTAAATAATCAGCTCTTTTCCAAATTTCGTCCCTTCCGATGTGAATATCAATATCCATAATCTCCTGCCATAATATGCTAGAATTGTAAAAGTATGAAATTCCATACACTGAGAGAAGCTCACATAGTAATTAAAGAACAAGAGAGAACGGAATCAGAACAAAGAAAACTTGCTCCTAGGTATCTGCCCTCTGGAAAGAACAAATGAAAGCAGGCCACTCAGAACCTTCTCTGTAGAAAGGGGAAGGAAGAAGTTTTACAGCTTGGATCCACATCTCTCCAAGCTCAACATCTTAGCCGGAATTCTCCCATAGGTTACTATGTTTTATTTATTTAAAAGGGTGTTTACTGCTTTGTAGATGGGATCCTAGGTAATGGAAGGAGTTGGTCTTCACTAGATCTTTACTGCTGACTTGCGTGGTGGCGGTGCTTGGGCTGGTCTCTAAATATTCAGTCTTCTTGATATTAAGGTGCAGGGCAAATTGGCAAAGGCAATTGTTCCATAGTTGTGATAATATCCATAACAATGTTGAACCTTGATGAACATCAACTTTCACAGGAAAGCTGTCAGAAAGGCTGACAGTGCATCTCATGTGACAGCTGGTATTTGCATGCAGCATCTGGACCCATGTTAAGAGTTACTCAGGCACACTGTGGTCACATAACACATACCAAATCAGCTGATGCAGAATATGGTCAAAGGCCTTTTCAAGGTCAAGGAAAGCCAAATGTAAAGGTTTCCCTTTTTCTCAATGTTTCTCTATAAGCATGAGAACTGCAACGATGGGGTCAGTAGTATTAGAGGCTTTGATAAAGCCACATTGATTGGTACTGATTTTTATGATGTCATGTAAGCACTGGTTGATGACACACTCAAAAATTTTCATTGTGTGTGTTGGAGGCAAAATTTGTCAATAGTTTTGGGCAATCTGCTGGATCGCCATTATTCTATAAGAGCATTACTGTGATGCTCATGCTCCAGTTAGCAGTAATGTGCCCAGAGTCCACTATTGCATCAACAAAATTTGTTAGCCAATAGGCTAACAATAAGCTTATATGATAACATTTAATATAGCCTATTTTTAGAGGTAAATTATCAATCCCCGCCCCAATATCTAGGTGGCAACAAGTGAAACAAAAGAGCAGCTGGACAATCACCACCAACAAAGTATTTTAGATAACTGTATTAATATTTCTAGTAGACATAAAATTGAAAAGATCATTCCTGACATACAAGAATCCAAAGATGGGGGGCCTGAATAGGCCCACACTGACATTTTCAACCAGGGCATGGGGGATGTACCCCAAGATATTCTTTAGGAAGAAAATGTGGCAAAGGAAAGACCGTCTCTTGCTCATCACATCAATCTGACCCATCAGAGAAGAGAGGCAGGGAATGCTGTGGGTCCCATCCAGGGGAGGGATTCAAATTTTTTAACAACTGGTTCTGCGGGAGTGGCTAACTTGGTGGGTGTGGCTTGGTGGTCATGTGACTGGATGGATGTGGCTTGGTGGTCATGTTATTGGCTGGGCGTGGCCAATTCAATATCACTCACATCGAGGCACGCATCTCCTTGCCTGACCTCTCATGACTGTGGGGATACTGCAACAGTTGTAAATGTGAAAAATGGTCATAAGTCACTTTTCAGTGCCATTGTAACTTTGAATGGTCACGCCACATAAGCAAAGTACCAGCAAAGGAGGGGAAAAAACTCCAGAGAAGTTCCAGAGACAGGAAGTCTAGTCCTACCAAGAATGTAATAAGGGTTAACGAAGAGACAGTTTCTGTAAGCAACACTAGAATGTTTCCTTCCTGCCTTCCTTACAGGATTAGGCCAGTAATTTCTTCTACCAACCGGTTCTCTGAACTGCTTAGAATGTTAACAACTGGTTCTAGTGAATAGGTGCGAACTGGTAGAATCCCACCCCTGGTCCCATTCCCGAGGGAGATACACCTGGTGAGACCTAGAAGAATGGCCCTGTCAGTGGAGGCTCCCTCTCTATGGAACATCATTCCCCCAGAGATTAGAATGGCCCCCTCTCTAATAGTCTTCCGGAAGGCCCTAAAGACCTTGTTCTGCCAGTGGGCCTGAGGAACCCAGAGCGGAATGGAGCCCATTAAATGGCTCATGTAGGGGATGATTTTATTATATTATACTATATTAATGTCATATATTTATTTGATTCTTTTTATTAGTTTTATTGTTTTAAATGTGGTTTTATATTCTGTAAGCCGCCTTAAGTCGCCATGGGCGAATAGGCGGTAATATAAATTAAATCAATCAATCAATCTTAGAGTCTGGATATGCCTATAGGCTGGAATCAAAGTGCCAGAGAGCAACCGTGGGTGAAGTTAAGGCAGACATTTTGCACTGAAATTTGGAGATTGCATAACACACCATTTTGCTGGATGGAGTTCAATCTGCTGCAAACTTTAACAACCACTGATCATTCCAGATACTCATATTTGTAGCCATTTTTAATTGAATTTTCTGATGGTAGAGCAAAAGAGTGTGCATTTCAACCTTATTGCCAGCAGGTGGTTTCTGAAAGATCTCAGTGGGCTTTGCACTTCCTGTGAAGGCAATCAGAAGAACAAAGCCTTTTGTCTTGTCTTTTCCTTGTCCTGCTATCTGTTCAATTGTGGTCTTCAGCCTTCTTCTTCACCCCCAACTGGCTTACAACCCTGGGGGGAAATGAAGCTGAAAGGAATACTTATCAGTGCCATCCTTCAGGCTTTGCTACCAATTGCAGGTAAGACAGGCTTTTCATATTCTAAGAAACTATTTTAAAAATTTCTCTTCCCCGAAATGGAGGAAAGAGAAAGCTTCTCTTGCATGTCATATTTTCCTTGTACCAGGAAGGAAATATCTATGTAAACTTGTAGTTACGTCTCCTTGATAAAAATCAGCTACACATTTTGTCCAAATTCCATCAAATTCCATCCTTGGATCAGTGCTTTTCATAAGGCAAAGCTTTATAACCTGATGAAGAGAAGACCTCGGCTGGCAGGTGGATTAAAAAAGAACATTTTAATGTCCTGTGGTTTTGGTCTGGAAGCCATTTGAGCCTGCTTCCATTTGCAAACAATGTTGAACTAAAAAGGGTATCTTTCGGCATTGCTGTACACCTACTAGTAGTGCACTGGTCAGTGATGCAACATTTCAAACCCTAAGCATTTCTATGGCTGAAATCCAATGGACACATCTTGAATAATCCCAGTGGATATGATGGATTTTTTGAATAAATATGCCTGGAATTATACTGCAAATTTTAAAAACTTGTTAAACTACATAAAAGATCATAGATGTATTAATTTGTTTTAAAAAATAAATCAGAATTTTTTTATTTAAATTGCAATTTCCAGATTATTAAGTTTTAACTATTCATCTTCTTTATAAGAGAGCTGGATAACATTTAAAACAAACAGAAGTTAAAGGGGTCAAATTTTATTCTTTTACATTCATGATCCATATTATATAGAAGATACATGTAAACATCTTACATTCTGTATTAGGGTGTCCTATTTGCATGTCCTGAAAGCAAAGAAAATAAAATGCAGCTTTGAGCCTTCTGGATCCCATCACATGCAAACCTTTCATGCATACCTCTTCACTTTTTACCTATACTAAGAAAAAATATTCCTATTGTATGTGTTCATGTTGAATGGTACCATTGCAAAGTTTCAACTGGTGGAGGCTAGTTTTCTTTAGAGGTGTCTATTTTTAAGTGTTCATTTTACATGGCAATACAGTAAGTAAAACACAAATGCACTTTCTCTCTCTCTCATCATTTTCTGAATTGTAACAAGGCTCATATCAGTCCAAAAGTGAAGAAGAAAATATAATAGCAAGAGGAAATGAAATATATTTCCATCAATACATTTTCTATGTATTGTAATAATTTGGGTTATTAAAAAATCAACATTTGAATGTCTAGTTTTCTAAGACTAAATGTTATTAGTTCTGCTTATTAAAATTATTGATTAAAATTATATTGACACCTCTTGAAAACTATTGCATCTTAAAGGATAGGCCTTGGATACATCTACCTAATGCGGTTTTGTTCACAATGAGGAGGTAGGTTTTCAAATACTTTGTCCCTATAAACATCAAAGCAATATCATATGCAATACCTTTTGGGAAGAAAATATAGAACGTTTGATTTCAAACATGTGTTCTACCGAAATACACCTTCAGTATACAGTGATACAGATGCAGAGAGAAGAATATAAACATAGTGTTGTGTGGTAAACTTTAATTCAGATGATGGTTTTCTATTTTGTTAAGTCTCCTCCTCATTGCTAACCAACTATCAAGCAAAAGTTATATGTATTAAATATATATTAACTATATCACTTATTAAAATTGATCTTAATATATAATAATTGACTATTAAATTGCTAAATATATTTTTATGGAAGTAATTCCTGATCATAAGAAAAAAATAAACTTTGTAGACAATACAGTGTTGACATAGCTGTTTGTATAAATGTTGTATGCTTTTTGACCATGTAATTTACTGATGTATGAACACAATAATGTTCTGTAGTTTAAAAAAAGCCCTATCATTCCAAGGAAATGAAGTATTTTCCATATATGACAATAAAGTCATATTTATTGTATTAATCTACAAACAATCTTTGTGGAATATTAGATGTATTAGATATATGCATACTTAATTACTTTTATTTCAGCAAGAGGCTAGATGTCTTTCGTAGGGAGGCTGTACTAAGACTGGGTCTTCTAATTGAACATAAAACATTGACAGTCTTGTGTGGTGTACATATAATTGATAGGACTAGCCGTAGTATTAAAGCAAAATGGTTATTTCAAATAGCTGACTTTGGATATTATAAAACCAGGAAATTATTGATTATATTATTGTAATTGTATCTTAATTGGCAAGGATTAGGAAGATGAGTAACATTTATGTGATTTTGCTTTTTGAAATGCCAAAATAATTTGATGTTCTTTAGGTACTTTGAAGTGTGCTTGTATGTGTGTGTTTGCAAGAGAGAGAGAGAGAGAGAAAGGGAAGGAGGGAGGGAGGGAGAGAGAGAGAGAGAGAGAGAGAGAGATTTAGATACACAGATAGAGATTATTATTCAAAAGGTTTGGGATTAATTTAATAATTTATTATACAAGGCTATGTATCTAAGCTTGTATGTCCTGTGTGGTGAAGTCTCCTTCTCTTTTCTACATTGTATTGCCATTTCTGCAGTTCAGGGTTAACACTTTTGTGTACTGTCCTCTGCTATCAGGATCTTTGTATGATTTGACCGCAGTAGAGGAAGAGAGGGAATTTTGAACTGTCCTCCTAGCCCGACTTTTAGTAGCTTTCTTAGCCCACCTGCAGATGTTCTGCTTTATGTACAGTATATGATTGCCTGTTTACCACCCATGTTCTATTTAAACTTTTATTTAAAGAACAAAAGAGAAAATACTGAAAGGTGTTTTGATTATTTGAATTAATTTTAAACAATTCAGGTGATTCCTACCTAATACTTATCCCAGATGTAAGCTACCATAACCTCTTTTGCACATGACCATGTGAAAGTGGCTGCTTTTGTAAACGATACCGTAGATTTAAATTTTCTAAAACTGATCCATGCCACACAAGAAGATCGGTTAAGTTTAGGTATACAGTATGTTGGAAATCTTATAACTTTATTTTTCTTTGAGAAAAGTGATTCTTCAGTTGTGTCTCTTGCCTAGATCTAAAAATGAATGCTGGGGAAGAAAGGTCCTTTAAGATAACACAAAAATAACCCCTATTAAACTTTTTTGGGATTGCAGTTTAGTGTATATTTCTTATACACGAATATTTCACAAGTAAAGCATGATAGTTTCTGAATTAGTTAGTGCCTCAGATAAAATGGAGAAACAATAGGCTTTATTAAATTTATTTTCAATTATCTACTATGGATTCTTCTCTACTCATATACTTAGAAATGAAACATTGTTTCTATTTTGTTGATTTTATTCAGTCCTGAAATTGTCTTAGACATAGAATCTACAATTTATCTTTGAATATTCATTGTATGACTTAAATTATTACCTCATTTAAAATCTTCTCTGTACTTAGTAAAATAACAGAGTACATGCCATGAGGAAATACATGTCAAGAGGAAAATTAAATGCCCAACAATTATGAATTAAGTATATAGATTTCTCAAAACCTAACATGAACCAAAGAAAGTAATATATTTAATGTTTTAAGTCTCTGTCTCTCTAACCCTCTTTCCATGTAATATTAAAATTGATTTTAGTTTTCTGTATTTAAAAGCATTTTTGACAAGTTTCTAAATAGATTGTTTGGATTTACACACATATCTATTTTACTGCTGATCTTAAAATGAGAATTTATTTGAATTTTAGCAACAGCATTTGAATGTCTGTGAATGTACAGCCTTCTCTAACCTAATTCTCTTTAGCTGTGTTTGGATTACAGCATGCAGAATTTTAAGTCTTAGCTGACGTAGTGTGATTATTATTAGCTCCGCATTCTTGAATACTTGTCTAGTTATTATACTGAGTGTAATAGCAGCAGAGCTTATTGTGTGGAAGGGCACCATGAATTTTACATTAGGCTGAATCATATTGACCAACACTTTCTATGTTACAGAATGGATTTGACTTGAAGAAACAACCAAACAATATTTAAGTGCAATCAGTTAGGAGAAATAAGTCTCCTTAAAAGGTGACTCCTGTTTATTATGGTGATATAGCAATAATTATTTTTAAGTAACACAAATATAATGATTAAATAACCGTGATGATCTTAGGACTTCTGACATTTTAAAACCTTATAGAGAATTCTGATTAAATGTTTTATTCAAAACCTATTATTTTGCTTTGCAATTTAGAATATAAGTTAGCTATTATATTGGGTATTAGCTTTGTCATAAAAGGTTTTGATTCAGAATTCTTCTCTCTTCTTTGTGACGTTCCATAGACTAGTACTACTTTACATTACATCAAACTCAAGGCCCAATCATTTTGATATAAGAAACTTCTCACCTCCTTGAAGTGTTTAAGAAAATTTTACAATGTAGAGTAGCGTTTATCTGTAATGATTGTAAAAATATTTCAGTTTTAAAAGATAAATAGATAATGCACACAGATACTGTAAAATTCGTAGGGCATGTTATCTTACAACAGATAGTCCTCATTTAATGACTGCCTCAGAGACCATTTGCAATTACAGTGGTAATGAAAAAGAAACTTTACGACCAATACTTCTATTTATACTTCTATTTCTTTGCAATTATGTTTCAGTTAGCATGCATTGTCTTGGCCCATTTTTCTCTCCCCACACCAAACAGAGAGATTGACTAAACCAGCAAGCTTTTTCTGAGCAGCTATTCTCTACAGTGTAATGCAAGGGTCTTCAAACTTGATAAGTTCAAGACTTGTGGACTTCAACTCCCAGAATTCCTGAGCTAACATGACTGCAGGAGGATTCTGGGAGTTGAAGTCCACAAGTCTTAAAGCTATCAAGATTGAAGATCCCTGTAAATGCATGTCTAATAAGTGCTAACTGCAAATTAACAAGTTCAGCTGTCTGATTTTAATTACAGCAGTAATTAAAGTAAGAGTTTAATTACTTAAGATTGTGCTGTCAGCTGCTGCCTGAAATTGACAAGACCCTAATAAGATTCACACTAAAGGTTTTCTTGTGCCTTTTAAGCAGCTGGTAGCTCATAGTCATCAGTGCCCTAAGGTTAGCACATTTCTTTTGATAGGTATTCT